TTTTATTGTTAAGCTTGTTTGTTGGCATAGAATATAAGCTATATATATCACACACTTTGAATCTTTTCAAATATTTACAGTTGAGGTGAAACACTGAAAATTCTTCATCATGGTCTGATGAGTATTTAATACAAATCAATGTTAAAAAACGTTCGTATCAATTTCAAATACTGGAAAACTTTATGTCTCTTATTCTTCTTACCTTACCTGGTGAGAAGACAAATGATTTGATAAGAACACACGTTGTTTAGTTGATAAAAGAATATTCTTCATAATATCATAGTGAATAACGTTATAATTATTGACAATAACAACGAAGAATGCAGCGAACTCAGGAAGGTATATAAGAGAACGGTCCGAATTTGAAGACCAATGCTTAGCAAAACATTTGAAAGTGAAGAATGGTACTGCTGATGCAAATACGCTTTATTACTTAAACAGTCATTACCTTTCAACGGCATCTATTTTATACTACGTGCGGGGCATGATGCTACAATTGAAAAAATGAGATGATCCATTTTAAAAGATTTTTTTTTCAGTATTATCTACGGAATAGAAAACAATTACAGTTTTGTAAATGATAAAAAGTTTAGTTAAATAGTAGATGGGGCATATCATGTTTACAAAATCGTAGATGGAATGACTTGCCTCAAACCGTAAAGGAGGATAAACCAGACTGCTATCTTTCATTAGTTTTTTTCAAAGACGATAACAGATCATCGCCTATTTCAAAGCATACTGAGAGAGAATCTTCTTGCACAATAGTTGATAACAGTCCATTGGATTATGCTAACATTGATTTGAACATATTTGAAAATTTTTCATCATGGTCTGATGAATATTTAATACAAATTAATGTTAAAAAACGTCCGTATCAATTTCAAATTGAACTTGTACAAATGGCTATTAAGCAAGAAAATACTATTATTTGTCTACGTACAGGAGCGGGTAAAACGTATATAGCTGCTCTTCTCATCAAATATTACTACATGAAAAAAATGAAAATAGCAGCCAATCAACGATTTTTGACTATCTTTCTTGTGCCTCATCGATCTATATGCGAACAACAAGTGAAAGCAGTAGATATAATTGGCAATTTATGTGTAACTGGATGTAATGATGAATCATTTGTTCATGAATATATACAAACATCCAATGTTATTGTGTGTACTCCACAAAAACTTTTAAATTGTTTAAATGATCAAACAATATCGTTAAAGGATATCGACGTGTTAGTCTTTGATGAATGTCATAATTGTA